TGTTAATGTTTAATAAAAAATGATTTTATATTGAGATAACATTATAATAATAACATTTTGAATGGAAAAAAAAACAAAATTTTTTCTTCAAGAATTTCGAATGTTCAAATCAACAGGAAAAAATCAAAAGCAAAAAGGTAATAAAAAACAGTACTGAACATATCTTTCTTTTGCCATCATTATCATTATCATTTTTATAATCATCATAGTCCAAATCTCATCATCTTTACCTAGAAATGATTATATCAATGATACTTTATTACATTTCATTTTTCCCTCATGTCCCTTTGATTGTCAGCACGAATATAACCTAATATATAATGATAATTTCAATGTGTGTGGGGGTGGAAATAGACAACAACAACAACAACAACAACAAAAATGAAGAAGGTGTTAAAATAGATATGATGATGATGATGTTTTTTTCATTTCCTCCAAGCACACACACACACACACATCACTATTGTTACTTGTAAATAAACATCCACCAAACTATAGAAGAAGAAAAAAAAACATGATGTTCAAAATATTAATTATAACCTTTCAAGGTCAAAGGAAATAATAATAATAATAATAATACAACTGGTCAACACGAAATTAAACCCTGTTTTCTTGATAATCATTTTTTGATGTATAACAGGCAAAAGATATATATGAAAAGATACAATTTTTTTCCAACAACAACAACAAAAAATGAATGAAGAATGTTGGATAATAGACATAGATATATATTGATCATAAATGTTTGCAAAAAAAAACTATTATTCATTCATAATTTTGTTTCTTCTTCTACCCATCTGAAAGAATGCAAGAGAAAGAGAGAGAAAAACAACCGTTGCGGATACAAAAGTATTATTATTATTATTATTTATGAGAATTCATCATCATCATCATTAATATTTAATATGAAAGAAAAGGAGTAATAATTTTCTTAAGTAAAAAATGATAATAAGATAGAAACATTCATTGATTGAAAGATGGAAGAAAAGAATTGAATATAGATACATTCATAGTCAATTATATTGTGTTTAGTTTTTCAAAATTACCATCATCATTATTATGAAAAGCTTACCTTTAATAATTTCAAAGAATTTAAATATTTCGAATGAAAAAAAAAATTAATATCAAAAACCGGATAAACAAAATGGGCAAACGTTTTAAACGTTTTAACCAGAAAAATTTTTGATATAACGATACACGATGGTCTCCAAAAATAAAATGACAATTTTCATAGGCAAAAAAAAAGAAAACATTTATATTTCTTAGATTGATGATATATATGAATCCCCTCAAAAAACAAAACAGCAAAAATGACAGAGATTGTAAAAGACTTCTACATTCATTCAATTCATTCAATTAATTCATTGGAGATTTACTTAGTCAAGTTGTTCTGGGTGATTATCATCATCATCACACACTAAATCCACGGATAATGAGGATTTTGTTGTTGCTGTTTTCTATTTTGTTTGTTTGTTTGTTTGCCAGAGACAATTTAATCATCATTACATAAAAATATATATTGTTACTCCAACAACATCAGAACAAAACAAAAAAAATCATACAGATATTTCTGGTTAAAAATAATAATAATAATAATAATTTTTTTTGAGGGGGGATAGTAACGATTGTAAATAGTGAATGAATGAATGAATGAATGAGGTAAACGAACCAGAACAAAGAATATAGGTTTTTTTATATATTTAATCGTGATGAGATTGTTTCTTGGAAAATGAAAAAATTTTAATGGATAAGGCTTTTCATCATCATCATCCTCATCATTATCATTATATTTTTTTTATGGACAAAAAAATGACAAATTTTCAAGATATAAATCAACCAACAAAAAAAATGATGACCATATAGCCGCTTGGCCATCATCAATGGACATTAACATTTTCTCACTCTTTACCTTCATTCATTTATTTTAATGTGTTTAGCATCATTATCATTAGGTTATGTAAAAAAAATAATTGTCTTTTTTGTCACTGTCATTTTACAAGTTGTCGGCCAAGTCTGCAAAAATCTTACTTTTCTGTTAGACATAAATTGTAGAATGATAAAAATAAAATTAAATTATTCAAAATTTTTCTACAGACAAGTAGCAACAGGTAGACTTAATTCAAAGTTGGTAATGATGAGTCATTTTTTGTTGTTGTTGTTGTTGATTAAATTCATGGTGTTACAAGTGACAGGTACAATCCAATACACAAAAGAAAAATCAAAACTTACTTTGAAATGATGGTAGTTTTTTTTTCAATGTTCATTCATTGTATCGATTAGATTGAAATAGTTCACACACACAGTGATTTGATTATGGATGATATATTTTGGTAGAAATAGATTCGAATGTTTTGTTTTGTTCGATTCGATTAGTTTTTTTTTGTCTCACAATGAAAAACATCCGCACTGTATATAAATTTTTTTTTGTTTGTTGCGTTGGTTTTCAATTCTATCAAACTTGTGATATATATATGTTGATTATTGAAATTCAACACATTTGATGATAAAATAATCAAAAACAGCAACAACAACGAAATGAAAATTGAATAAAGATATGTGGTGGTGGTGTTTTTTTTTCCAAACATGAAAATTTGAAATATATCATGTATAAATATGGCAAACAAAACTCAAATCCGAGTATGGTAATAATCAAAAAAAAAAAAATTTTGAACACACACAGGTTAATTCATATACGGAAGAATTATTATAAATGAAGAAGTAAAAAATCATGTTGAATCAATCAAGGTAAAATTGCACTAAAACAAATCATACAAACACACATCACACACACACAGAAGAATGTTGGATCCAAAATGGATCCATGGTGATGATGATGAAATTTCATTGAACACCATATTTACTACAATCCATTAACACAACAAAGAACATTTGATTCATAATTTTGTAATGATTATTTTACCATTTTTTTTCATTTGATCAGCAAAGAATCAATTGTATTGTGTTTCAAGCTGAGAAGAAAACTTTGGTGAGTATTTTCTTTGTTCATTTCGGTTGGTTTTGTTTGTGTGTGCTCACCTTGCTTGCTTGCTTGATGTGTGTGTAACAAAAAAAAAAATGTTGAATTTCAAAACTACCTGTCTGACCATTATCATCATCATCATCATCAACATCATCATCCATGGCAAACCAAATAGCATCTTCAATTTTCGTTGTTGTTGTTGTTGTATGTTCTCATTCACAAAGAACAACGACCAATGCTAGTAACAACAACAAACCGATCCTGTTGGTGGCCTTCTCTTTTCGTTATTTTTTTTCTTTCATCATCATCATCATCATCACCATTCACATCCTCACTGAGCAACAGGGTCGTCGCTGTTCGTTGGTTGTCGATTCAGTTGATCACAACAACAAAAAAAATCCATTGAGAAGGTGGGTGCAAAACTCTCGCTGTTCATCAACACATCAACCAAAAAATATTAGAAAAAAAAAACATACACAAACACACGAAATGCCATCGGGCATTTCAAACCAGATGCCAATTTAATGTCCAATTCACACACACACACACACACACAGGTAACTTGTTTTTATCAGATATACCTGTTGGTTGATTCAACTTTTATTATTACAAAAGAGGGAGAGAAAGTTTTCAATGTGTTCAAGATTTTTTTTTCATTATATTTCATTCTATTTCAAATCACCATCAATAGATTTTAGTTTTAAGTTAATGGTTAGCTTTGAAACTAAGAATATTCGTTATTTTGTTATACATTACACACAGAGATAGATACAAAAATATGCTAGGGCCATACATACCACAACGAGAATGGTTGTTTCGTTGTGTTTATAAAAGTAAAAAATGAATAAATACATGGCGCGAACATTGTATTCAACACACTCTTACTTACTTACTTAAGTTAGGTTTGTGTGACCCTCCCTCCCCTTAACTTAACTTCTCACCCAAATATCACAACTTTTAAAGTTTTATAATCATTATTGAAAAGATAATAACTGCTACTACTACCTTTTTTTTGAATGAATAAGATGATAACGATTCTGTATGGGATTATTTAATGAACTACTACCACTGGTTTTCATTTTTTTTTTTCATTCAAAAAAATGTTTGTTTTGTTTCGTTCTATATTCCTGCTTCTACTATCAAATACATTATTTGATTATTGGGCGTGAATTTTTTCTCTTTCTTTCTCCCTTTCAGCTAAAATCATTAGTCATCACCGAAACTAAAAATCCGATTTTCAAAGATTTGGCGGTATACTTGTTGATTATCCAAATGATCGATCGATCGATCATCATCATCAACATCAACAACAATTTTTATAAAACAAATAAACAAAAGTATTATTTATCATCATCAATACAATGAACAAGATAAATTCGATATTTATTTTCAAAAAAAAACGACAAACAAAATCATGTTTTGTTTATATTGTTTACATTTACATTCCAATCTAAACCAGAAAAAAATGATTCGAATGCATTTTTATTTTGAACCAATCAACAAAGTTTACGAAAAGATTTAGAATTTGCTTTTGCACAACATACACACACACAGACACATCAATAATGCTTGTCATTTATATTTGTATTTGAGAAAAAAAAATTGGCTGCAAACTCAACAAAAAAGAAAAAATATTTTCAGGTTTCCGATGACAATTGCAATAACTCTTTCTGGATTGCATTCTCACTTGATTGAGCACAAACGACAATCATCATCGCAGTCATCATTATCATTATCATCAATCGTCATCATTTTCATCTGTTACTTAAACTTTTTTCTTTTTCTTTGAAAACAAAGACAATCACATATAGCTTACGAATTTGCTTTAGTCAGTTGGACGAATGTTTGTTTCTTTTAATTACATCATTCATTCAACCATCATATTTATGGGAATGTATTTTGTCTAGCAAGATATTGAATATAACCATTATATAATATTGATATCATCATTTATCTTCCATTCAATGTATAAAGATTTTTTTTTTTTTGGCTAAATGCAGACAAATAAATTCTATCATGAAAGATTTAAATTAGCCGCCGATTTTTTTTCAAGTCCGTTCATCAATATCGTGATGCTCATCAACATATGTTTATTGCCGATTCTTGTTATTGTTGAGTTTGTTTTTTTGTTCCAGATTATTTTTATATAATTTCTAGTTTTAGAATTTATTTAAAATCGTAATCAATTAATAAGAAAAAAATGAATAATAAAAATGAATTTGATCAACATTATGAGGTTGTTTTGACTGGAACAGATTTTATATCATCATTATTATCAGCTGCATTTGCACGAATCGGTAAAAAAGTTTTGCATCTTGATTGCGAAAAACATTACGGTAAAGAATGGCGTTCGATGAAATTTACCGATCTTTTACTTTGGATGATCAGATGTCGAACGCTACAATCATCGACATTGGAGCAAAGCAAAGATGACGAAATACCACCATTGGATTCTTCTACCAAAGATCATTTCATCGCGATGAATCGAACGAATCCATTTTCGAATGTCGAAATCGATTTCTTTTTATTTGATGATCTAGTTCAATATAAAAAATTTTTCGAACATCTTTTTAAAACAAAATGTACAACAGAATTCTTGGATGAATTCATGAGTCAATGCATACAAAAACTTCAAAACGTTCAGACATATGATGAAGCATGCCAATTATTGGAAGAATTTAAAGATGGTCATCCTTTGATTCACCGATTAGACAATATGTTTACCTTTGATCTTTGTCCTCGGGTATGTTTGCAAAATATTTTAATAATTTAAAATCTAATCATTTTTAATCTTTGTTAAAAGTTTCTGATTGCAAATGAAAAACTTGTGAAATTGCTGATCGATTCAACAGTAACTCGGTATATCGAATTCAAGAAAATATCACGATTATTGACAGCAATGACAGTTCCTCAAACCGATGATAAAATGAGGAAAAGTAATAATAGTGAAGATGTTAAAATGGAAATTGTCGAAGTGCCCTGTACACGAAATGATATATTCATATCGAACATTATTTCTCCGATTGAAAAACGATATCTTATGTCATTTTTGGAAAAATGTTATCGCCTTGAACGACATGGTGATTGGTATCGTGAATTCTCGGACAGACCATTCTCCGAATTTCTTAAGACACAAACGTTGACGGATAAATTACAAGAATTTATCACCAATACATTACTTATGCAATCGCAGCAGATTCAAACGGAAAATGCGTTGAACAAAATCCATTTTTTTCTTCGGTCATTTGGACGTTTTTGTGATCGACCATTTTTATTTCCATTGTATGGCTCTGAAGATATAATCCAAGCATTTTGTCGTTATGGTGCTGTTTGGGGAGGTTTATACTGCCTTGGGGTTTCGATTCACGGCATTATCATTGATAAAAAGGATGAACATTCGAAAAAACAATGCAAATCCATAATGGTTAATCGATCTCTAATTGAATGTGATAATTTAATCACTGATTATCGATTTGTGGACATACAACCGATTCAACTTAAAGAGCAGAAAATATTGGCACGTGCAATTATATTGAATACCAAATCAATCAAAGCTATCGATCCTGAGAATGAACTAGGTGACTTGAGCTTTATTCATTTGCCACCTAAATTTACCGGTCTTGACAGCTCAGTGTATTGTTTCGAAACCGATTATTCTAGTCGAGTCTGTCCTCGACATTTTTATCTACAATATTTTTGGTGCGATTCTTCTTCTGATCGAACCCCTAAACAAGTGCTTGAACCAGTGATTAAAAAGCTTCTCTCCTTGGATAGAGAAACACAAACCAGTGATTTACCATTTGAATTACAAGGAAAGATACTTTTATCTGTTTATTATAATTATTGTTCAGAAATTTATGATAATAACAATGAAGATATGCCTACAAATATTAAATTTATATCAATGCCTATCAACGAATTTAATTATGAAAATGCAGTTGCTGAAGCTGAAAAAATCTTCAAAGAATTATATCCAAATGAAGAATTTTTTCCACACACAGAAAAACCAGATGAAAATCAACAACTCGATGATGATGGTGATAATGATAAAATTGATGATGATGATGATGAACAAGACAATGATTCTATGGAATCGTGAAATGCAACCAAAAGAAAAAAACATTCATGGATATATTGATTCATAATTTTAATGCTTTAATTTTTTTAAATCAATTGAAATAAAATATTATTTCATAATAAAATGAATAACAAAAATGAATGAATGTTTGAATGATACAAAAGAGACAAAAAAAAGAAGGAAGCGCTGTAATAATAAAACAACAACAACAAGTGAAAAAAGAGAGAATGATTAATTAAAAAATTCTTAAAAAAGGGTTTGGACAAATATTGTGTGTTTATTGGCATTAAGATAAAATGTAAATGTAATTTATAAAAGTAATTTTTAAAAAAAATATCCAAGGATTTTCATTTATTATTTTTTTGGGATTGGTTTGTAAGTCCATTGGTTGGTCATAAATATCGAGTTTTACATATGATGACAATTTTATTCTTTGGTTTGTTTTTTCTCTAAATCATGTCCATATATTTATGTTTATGGGCGGTCAACATTTCGATGACAGTGGCCAATTTTTTTAATGTTGCCTACAAAAATATATTAAAATGAACACAGATTCGATTATGATAAAATTATGTAAATTCAATCAACTTACATTATTATGTGCCTGTATTTGAATCTGTGACAGATGTGTTTCGCATATCGAATGTATGGTAGCCAATTCACGATCTGGTTGACATTTGATTATCAAATCTGGTTCCATTTGATCAATACCACCATTATTATTATTATTATTATTACTAGAACAATATGATGATGATGCCAGTTCATCAATATATTTGATCATACGAGATTTATTTTTTAATATAAATGGATTCACTACTTCCATCCAAGGTTCCTGGAAAAAAATATGAATTTAAAAAAAATCGTTAAAATTTTCATATTAAAAAAAATTAATTTAATCGAATAGAACAAATAAATGTTTTCAAGCAAACAGGAAAAAAATCATCATTTTTTTGGGAAAATATTATTTAGTCATTATGTTTTTTTTACCCGTTTAACATTAGGAGGCGGAGGCGGTTCGAATCGATCAGGCGTTATGAAAATGCTCTGAGCAATTTAATAATCGATTGGTAAGCATTCAGTAATGAAAAAAGAAAATACAAATTATCGTTAACACAGAAATAAAGTTAATAATTTAGCCAGAAGTTAAATAGGAAAATATTCAAAATTTTTATCTATAATAATATTCCATACAAACCTTTGTTCCAAATTCAACGAGATTAGCAAGATTTTGTAATGATTTAGCTACCAAAATCAATGTTCTTAATGCTGTTTCCGATGGCATTTCTATGGACGCGATTAATCAATTGAAATTTGAATACAATGATTTGATCGAAAAAAACATACCAGATATAAGACCAAAATGTCGAGGATTTAATATTGCCGGACAGATAAGCCTAAGAAAAATAAATGCTGAAACAGCGCGTGTTCGAACTAATTGATCGTTTGGCCATTTTAGACTGACAGCTCTTTTGATCGATGCACAAATGTATCGAACAGTTGGTGGACAGTGGTGAGCATTTGAAAATATCACTTCAACAATTTCGTCCAAAATATTAAGCAAGTTTTCAGCATTTGAACAAGCTTCACTTGGAGAATCAAGCTTAGCCGGATTCAATTCACATGATGCCTAATGAATTCATAAAATAAAACTAGGTAAATTTTGATTGTAAATTTCATGTTTTAATCGAACCTTAGAATCGAAAACTTTGTTAATCGGATCGGTTAAAGATTTGACAAGAAAATCCTGACATGTCGCTTTCATGTATTGATCGATCAATGTTGTTGTCAAAGAATTTGGTCGAAATAAACACGAAACATCCGTTTCAAGTTGAATTTCTCGTTCCAATAAAGCCTGAATAAGATGACATTCGCGTCTTTGATAGCGAGATATTTTCAGCAAAGCTGCGGCTAATGTCGAACGATCATGATAGCAAAGTTTTTCACACATGGCAATAACTTCAAGATCATCACCCAATAAAAGATCTTTGAGTGGTGAATATTCAGCTAATGGCATGATAAGTTCATTAACAAAACGAACACGAACACGAACCGATCCCCAATCACGAGTCAGTAATGTTAGGCCAGAAAAATGAAGCCATTCTTCAAATTCTTCTCCCGATTGAAAACGGCTAAGTTCGATATTAATTTCAGCCGATTCTGAATCTTTCGATCGTTTGCCTTTGTTTAGCAAAGTCAATTTAAAATAGGTCACATCTGCCGGAATGTCTTCAAGAACAAAATCTTCTTCCCAAATTGGATCCGGTGGACATTTGACTGAAGTTTGTGCTACTTTGACCGTGTTTAATGAAATCACAACAAATGGATGGGGAGTAATTTTAACTGGAAGACGATGTGCCTCAATCATGGTTATATACAATGAACGTAAACGAGAAACACCTTTGGCTCCGCTTGCCGATGCAGCAGGTGAACTATTAAAGCTAGAACCTACTTTTCTAGTCGGACTGACCGATTCATCAACGATGCCCGTTGCAGCAGCTGCAACTGCTGCAGCACCATTGAATGCAGCTGTCCCAAAATGTGGATCTTCATGAACAGCACGGAATATTCTCGAATTGACAGTCGATAAATTGGGCGAACATTGAGGCCTTATTGCTTGCATCCATTCTTGTGCTTGGTCTTGATCAGAAGCACTCAGGTAATAAATGGTAGAAATGCTAAATAAACAAAATTCAAGATAAATACAAAGCAAACATTATGTCATTAGTGAGATGAACAAACAAACCAATGGGAAATTGAACAGATGGAAAAAAGAGAAAATAGAATTATATTTACCATGGTAAAGTTCGTTCAACCAATTGGAAACAATTTGATCGATCAAATAAAGAATCGTGTACCATATAAAGAGCCGAATATGAAAGATGAACAATCGATTTTGGACGTGCACGTTTTGGACTATCATAAAAATATAGCATTGCCTCTTTAGCATTCAATACACAGTAAAGATTTTTCCATTTTTTCGATTTATTGGATTTTTTATATAAATAACCTCGTTTCTGTCCATCTTGACAAGATTGTGCCATTTCACGACATTCACGAATAGTAGCATATATACTATCGGCGGTAGAACGAAGTTCTTCCGCTCGACTAGCAGACCATCGTGTTTCATATGGTGCTTTTATTACTGGTTTCAATAATCGATGACCTTCTACAATCTGTTCCTCTTTATATCGTTGTATAACGGCTTCAAGTGTAGGAAAAATACGGCCACCCATCACATATTTATCGCTATGACGTTCGATACGGAATCGTTGGACCGAATTATCAACATGAAAAAATATTGAATAATCTCCTGGTGAATTATCGCTAGGTCGAACCAGAAACGATCCTGGTCCAGAACGAGCTAATTTTTCAAATGCTTCTTCTTTGGTAATTCGTGAATGAAACCAGCCGTACACTTCGTTTGGATCAGTGTCATCATCCACTTGTTCGACTAGATCGGCAAATACTAATCCGGATTCTTGATTCCGGAGATTCGTACACCAAAGCCAACGATCAGACATTTCATTGTGAACAATAAAAATATCGCCTTTTCGAAAGCTAAGTTCATCTGTTTCATGCATTTTTGTATAAGGTAGTATAGCAACCACACGACGATCTTTATTTCGAATCGGTTCAGGTGGTGGAACTGGATTAACAAGACGTTCATTTTTCAATAAATCAGAACATATCGTATAGAAACCAACTAATTCTTCAAGAGAGCTAAATTGTTTACCACCAAAATAATAATCACCACAAATAGCAGTTACACGAAAATGATTGATACCGGTAAGTCCAAGAAACGACAATACATAAGACCCTGGTTTTCGATCCGATTCTCGAATTAAATATGATTGCAATGTACAACGAATTAATCGACCTTCTGATTCTTTTCTATCCAAACGACCATGATACCATTGAGATCGAGATGGCGCAACTTCTGTCAGATTTGGTATATCCTGATTAAATCCATTCATAAGAGAAGCACTACAACTACCGCTTGTACTGCTAAAACCAGTAATCGATGTAGATGCGGCTAATGATGAAGATGGTCCTGGTGATTGTGGTTGAGGTGATTGTGTATTTGAACAGGCAAATGTATCATTTAAAAAATTTGATAAACATTTTTGCTGTCTTTGTTGTTGTAACATTAATGGTGGTGGTAATGGTGCAGGCGGTTTTACATATTGATGAGTTGGACTTGAATTTGATTGTGATTGACCTATTAGATCCGTTATGTAAGAATCGGAAGAATTTGGAAATGAAAATTCCGATGATGAATAACCGGCTGTATTAATACCTGACAAATTACGTGATGACATTGATGGTTGTTGTTGATGATTTGTTGTTGTTTTTGTAGATTGTTGACATGCAGATGATACTGATCGTTTAGCTATATCCATGATCATACAGATAACATCATTTATTCATTTATTTTTGTTTCTTACAGTAACAACATCTAAAGAAAGAAATAGAATGATAATAATACGGTAAAAAAAAGGGTAAATAAAATTATTCTCATAATAGAAAAAATATTATATTCTACAAATTCACTAATTGAATATTCAACAAACAACTAAAACAAGAATTCAATTACATTGAATTGAATAAATTGATCGGTTAGAATTATGTGTATCGTGTCTATGTAAGTGTGAAATTGAGCGAGAGAAAAAAAAATAACGTTACATGATGAAATAAAAGAAAACTTTCAACGAATAAAATAAAAATTGAATTGAATGAATTAATAGAAGAAGATGAAAAAAAACAGAATTCAAAGAGTGTGGGAGGAGGAATATAGATGATGATGATGATGACGCCTTTGATGATGCGGATGATAAACAAAAGTATATAATTATAAGACCGAAATAATAATGTGTGGCATTTGCTTTCTTTCATTCATTCATTCATTCATTTTATCGATGTTGAATTTCGGTACTCAATGATGTTTTTCGGTATTTCCCCGTTTTGTTTTGTTTTGTATTTAGAAATTCTTTTCTTTTTCTTTTTCTTTTATATTCGGGTTATTGATTCTCAATGATGATGTTGTTGTTGATGTTAATGATGATGATGATGATGGCTGATAATGGAGTAATTTTTGGTGTTGATGATGATGATGATAGTTGGTCATGGATTGGCTTATTGATTTGATTTCTTTTTTTTTGTTCTGTTGTTAGGGACGACATATATAAAAGATAATATCCGTTCGGTTTTTTTTTCAGTGTTGATGGGTAAAAAAGCCTATGTGTAAGTTCTGTGAAGCATAAACGCGCAGAATTTTTTTTTTCTTTTGATTCCTTCAAATAAGACAAGTTAAAAGGGCGTCAAATAAGAATTGTTAGTAGGATGGATGGATAGATAGATAACAAAAATGATATGCAAAGATGAACAAGAATTACGGATCTGATGATTTGGTGATATTGAAATCAATTTTGTTTTTCATGTTTTATTTCGGGTATTCGACATGATTATGATGACAAAAAAAATGAAGAGTTTTCGTTGTTTTTTTTGAAAATAATCGATAATAATCGATTATTTATAATTATTATTGACAGATAAATTTATCAAAAACAAAAACAAAAACAGAAATTTTGGAATTCCCAGATGATATTAAGGTGGTTTACAGAAAATCGACTCGATTATCAAATGTTTCAAATATCATTTTTTTTTATTTCTATTGATTTTCTTTCTAATATCTTATTAGTTAGCTTCCATTGTGTTTCTCACTGAACATCAATGAACATCAACAGCAAACAAAGATAATTTCAAAAAATTTTGAATTTTTTTTTACATACCTCTAAATCAGCAAATACTAAATCTGTTTTTATTTGTTACAAAACATAAATTCATTGTTGAAGAAAAAAAATTTGAACCAGAAAAAAAACTTTAAGAATTTTTGTTTTAAGAAAAACAAATTGATACACACATTCAACACTATTTATAGCCAAAAATTTATCAATCAGCAATCGATATATCAGTGAAAGAAAAAAATATCTATTCTTTTTTTTTGTTTTCTGAAATTAGAAACCTTTTTTTTTTGTTGGAAAAAAATGATCATTTGATGATGATGATTATGATGATGTGTGTGTGATATGATGTAAAATGATTAAAAAGAAAAAGGCTATATATTCATGCTAGATTAGGCGATCCATACATGTTGTTGTTGTTCCAACGATGATGTTGATGTTGATGATGATGATGATGGAATAACATAAATCCAGTGTTTGTCTCATTACATTTGATGAGTATTTGGTGTTACAAATGGGAAATTTACTCAAAAAAAATGAATGAACCAAAAAAGAAATATATTTGGCGTAAATGTATGTGTGTGTGTGTGTTCCGATGACTCAAAACGTCTGTGTTTAGTTTGTTTTTATTTGGTGCATGTGTGTTTATGGTGCCTGAATATACTTTTTCTTCTTTTCTTTTCTTTTTTGGTTTGGTTTGTTTGTTGTTGATTGGTTCGGATGAATTTTGTGCATGCGAGAATCCGATGCTAGCTGGCCAACAAACCCGAAATAATAATAATAATCTTACTCAAACATTGGAAAAAAATATATTAGAAATAAAATTCTGGGCAGCGACTTCTCAGTTTTCATCTTTTTCTTTTTCTCTTTCTATAGATTCAGGAAAAGAATAAAAACCGAAAGAAAAGTTTGTTGTTGTTTATATTATGATGATGTGTTATGTTGTTGGTTATCTCAGGTTTTCCTGAATCCGGAAAAGAATTGGAAAAAAAATAAGATGCTAGTAGCATTCCAATTTCATTTGAATAGGATTATTGAAATTTTCTACCAGCATTAAAATGGAAAATATTGTATCTTACTTTTCTTCTTTTTATTTTTTGGTTTGGCTTAAAATCTTTGTCGAATTTGATGAATGAGAATTTAGATTCAGGAATTTTTTTTTCGATTCTAAACACTATGATTGATCTAAATATTTTGAGTTTGACCAATCCACACATTAAACACATTTTACATTACCATCATCATCATCACTATATTATCATTTTTTTAATGAAAAAATCAAATATTGCCCGAAACAAGCAAAACAAAAATATCCAAAACGAAAAAAAAATCTATATAAATCCAGGATTCAATATGAAAAAAAACACATGCGTGTTTTGGAATCATTTTTTCTATTTGGTTGATTTTTTGTTGACTGTTCAATGATGCTGTAACTTGCTCCATTCATTTAATTTTTAATGATGATGATGTCGTTGACTTGAGTTTATTTATTGTGGTTGATGATGATCATCAGAATGGATCAAATAATAAAATGGGCGAGGCGCGCACATATCTAACAGATAATTCATGTTTATACAACAACAACCACAACCAAATGATTATTATATCATGTTCATAAAATGTTAATAGTGGTCTGTTGTTGAAGAAATTTGCGCCATTGTCGATATCAATGTAAATAAATCATTTCATATATGATAAATTTGGTCATTTTGAAATTCTGTTGTTGTTGTTGTTGTTGGTCATTTAAATCCATTCCATCATTGAAATGAATTCTTTTTTGGGCAAGTCATGAAATTGCAATAACACTTTTCAAATAACATATGGTTATTATTTGGAAAAAAATTGATTATGAAATATGGTTTTTCAAAGTTATGATGAGTCAGTAGAAAAACTTGCTGAACGATTCGGTATTGCCCTATAATTGCTCAATCTCACGAAACACCAATTTTTGGTTTCTGTTAATTTGTTTTTGTTCATATTTTCGAATTATTCAATATTTTTGAATAAAAATTAAATCAAATTAGAAGTGATGAAAAAAACATAAAACCAGATTTCAAAAAAATGAAATGAAACAGAGTTTGAATGAAAAAAATGTTACGATCGTTGTTCACCATGATCGCAATCTGTGTTTCCGTAACAGATTCATTTGATGATTATAGCCACAATAATTATGTTTGCTGGGAAAATCGTGTAGATTTTGTTATACAATTGGCAAACGAATTGATATTTGCATTTCGTCATGATAAAATATGGCTTTTAACGATTGATGGAAATTATCTCTCTTCAACAGATAATCCTGTTCCCTTGAATGAATTGTTTCCCAATTTACGTCAGGATATTCCAATTGCTTTTACAATGCCATTGATTGATGATCGATTGCGTGACCATCTAATTGCCTTACCAGGTTTAACAATGTTTGTCGATCCACCAATGTATTATCTTTATCATAATTTTGTTTTGAATCTAACTGATACAATGCAATATTGGGAATCAGGACCATTCCTGGATAATCGTTTTACAGCAACTATGCATAATACAAGTTTATTATTGATAGCTAAACAAGGTATCATTCCAGATGGAATCAAAAAAGTGATCGGTGGTCAAGTATTTTTATTTGATTCGGATCGATTTCCCGAATGGGTAGGTGTTTTTGAAATTTCATCTAAATACAAACAAAACTTGGATTGGCTTCGACTTAGCCAGCTAATGCCAATCAATCCAGGCAAACAGGATGAGAAAGCTACTTATTTAGCCTTATTCGATTATGGACCAACTATGGGTCATTATTATTGCATCACTATGTTTGACAATCATAATCATGGTCAATGTTTGGGTCAACTTCGTCCTATATCCAGCGCATTTCGATGTTCTCCAAAAATCATTAAATTAAAATATAAAAATTCATTATATAAATTATGGAAATCTACTGGTGGTTTGCCATTAAGAATCATTATAATGGGATCATGCGGAGCAGCAATGACCATGTTAATTTTAAATTTACTTCAATTATTCAACTCACTCTATCTTGTCGCAACCTTAACACAATTTGGACATTCTCCCAAAGAATCAGTACATTCAATACTAAAATCATCATTAACAAGTTTTGATAAAGAAACAAATATCTTTGAATGAAAAAAATAATTTAATATTTTTTTAAAAATTTAACCTTATCATAATAAGAACAATAAAATGCTAATAATTTGCCGATTCGAATCATTTATGGATTGCTCATTTCGTTTTGCATTCGGTGAAAAACGGCAGTCCTCATCAGTGTTTCATTTGCCTGTTTAAACATTGGGTTTATGAAATTTGGTACCATTCTTGGCATGATCCAACAATAATTGACATGGTTTATATTGTGGGCCATAGATTTCAGTAAAACGATGTCCAACATCGACAACACGTTGGGCGCCATATGTATCAGTGAAACGGAATGGTCCACCGTGGAATGGAGGGAAACCCAAACCGAATACGGCTCCAATATCACCTTCAAGCTGTTAATAATAGAAAATACAATTATAGATGCAATCATAATTAAAAAGAGTGATCAATATACCGGATTATCGAGGATGCCTTCTTGAAGGCACATTATGGCTTCATTAGTGAAACGGAAAGCCAAACGTTGTTGATAGTCGTCTTGTGTACATCTGTAAATTTCAAATGAGAGTAAGTTATTTGATAATTTCTTTTGATGACAAAAGTTATACATACTTTAATTTCGGTTCAACACTGAATTTTTTGATCACTTCCAATGCTCCAGGATTCATTTCACGACCTTTTCCTTTACTTTTTTTAGTATCATAAATGTACAATCCTTTGCCTGCTTTACGACCCAAGAAGCCTTTAGCAACAAGTTCCTGGATCAAACGAGGATCACCACCGGACATACGTTCAGGGAAGACTGATGATAAATATGAAGCAACATGAGCGGCAACATCAATACCAACTTCATCGGTCAATGTAGCACCACCAACTGGGAAACCGAAATTAGCTGTAATTTCATCTAATTCTTTAGGTGAAACACCTTCTTGCAATAATAATAAAAATTCTGACATGACTGGACCCAAACATCGAACAGTGTAAAATCCGGGACAATCTTTAACAGTGATGACAACCTTTTTTTGTTTCAAACCCAAATCAATGGCTTTGGCTACAGTTTCCTTGGAAGTCTTATCAGTCGTAATGACCTCTAATAGTTGCATTTTGTCTACAGGAGAAAAATAATGCATGCCAATCACCTGTTCAGGTCGTTTACTTCCCTTGGCAATATCTGTAATAGGAAGAGCTGATGTGTTCGATGCAAACACACAATCATCACGGGTAACTGCTTCAACTTCTTGAATGACTTTGTGTTTGACCTTAAGATCTTCAAACACAGCTTCAATGACCAAATCGACTTTCTTGAATTGATCATAATCCAATGTAGGAATCAATTTCGACATCCAAATTTCACGTGTAAGCAAATCAATTTGTTTACGTTTATATTTTGTATCCCAGGCTTGCATAATTTGTTGTTGACCACGAAGCAAACCTTGTTCAGACGTATCTTTCAATAAAGTGGTGATACCTTTATCAGCAGTGACTTGAGCAATGCCAGCACCCATTAAACCAGCTCCCAAAACGGCTACTGTCTCGGCTGGTTTTTGTGGTGCTCCAAAACGATTCTTTTTACATAAGGTTTGACCGAAAAACAATCCAATCAAAGCCTTATTATGTGTTGTTTGTGTTAGTTCAGCAAAACATTTTGCTTCGAATCGAAGTCCTTCATCTAATGGTTTTGTCAAAGCTGCATCAACACAATCGATTATTTTCAATGGTGCCGGATAAAGGCCTTTTGTTTGCTTCATGACCATTTCACGAGCTTTGCCCAATACTTTATCACGAAGAAATCCGACTTTCATTGCTTCACGAAATAGACCTATGAAAAAGATTTATAGAATCGCTAAAGTTAAAAAAAAAAATAAAGACTTACGTTCTTGTAATGGTCTTTTGCGTTCAATTTTCATCTCTTTGTTAGCTAATTGTCGACAAATTCCAGTGGCAACTTCTTCCAGATAAGCCAATGTGAGTTTATCAGGTGAATCGGCTCCTGGGCCTAATGGATCGACCAACATATCGATCAGGCCTTGTGATTTGGCTTTTTTTGGCTTGATGTTTTTAGCCATTAACATCATTTGTAGAGCATCAGGTACGTTAATCAACCGTGGTACACGTTGTGTTCCACCACCACCGGGCAACAAGCCCAACATCACTTCAGGTAATGAGAATACAGTTTTACTATTATTGACAGCAATACGATAATGACATGCAAGTGCCAATTCTAATCCACCGCCCATACAAGTTCCTTGAATGGCTGCCACAATAGGTATCGGACTTTCTTCTATTTGATTAAAAAATTCATGTCCTTTACGTACAAGATCTTCGGCTTCGGCCTGTGATTTAACTTTTTCCAACATTTTAATATCAGCACCAGCAACAAAACAATCTGTTTTAGCTGACATCAATACAATTCCTCTAGTTGTTATTCCACCTCGAAAAATTTCATTAAATAATTTGACAGCATCATTCATTAATCCTTCACCAAGACTATTGACTTTGGAATTTGGTTCATCCAATCGTATGATAAGTATTCCATCATCAGTCATGGAATAATTTAGATAATCCATTTCTAGTAATCAAAAACATAAATCAACATTTTTATTGAAAAAAAAAATATATTTGAATATTTGATTTAAAACAAATGGAATATTTATCATTCTTTTTTTTCCTGATAAATAACAAATGTTAATTGATAAGTACTTTTTTTGCATTTTGATAATAGAAAAAAACTTGTGAAAATTTGTCCATAAACTTATTTCTTTCTTTTTTTTTGAATCAATATGTCGCGCATGCTTTTCATTACTCTATATATTTTTTTTTTACTGTAACTCACTTTCTCTGCCATGTCATTGAACACAGGTGTACCCAAGATTATTTCGGCTAATAATTCATTGTTAATATTTTTTTCGAATAAAACATAATCAAACAAGTTATTTTGGAACTTATTAAACATAATCATTAAATCATTTCATTCAGTAAAAAAAAATTGAAATCAAATGGAAATATTATCATGTAGCCTGCCAAAAAAACAAAACTTACTCGTAACCGCCGTAGCCAAAGATCGTTTATGTTGATGGCCAATTTGAACAACATTATCGGCTTGTCGTTGTACATTTTGGAAAATTGATGATGATTGTGTAAAGATTCGATTATTATGTATAGATCGATTTGAAATTAATTGTTGTTGTTGTTGTTGTTGTAATAGGATCGACAATGACCGGCGACCTAATGATCGTCCTGTTCGATGTAAATGATGTATCAACATTTTCTTGTTCGTATTTCTTAAAAGGATTGTTTAAATTGGCCAAAAAAATAGATGAATCCAATCAACAGAAAAATATTTTTCGACAAAGACTAAATCAAAAACGATTTTTAAAAAAAAGAAAATGTAATTGGTTCGTCTTTTTTTTCGACCAATTTTGTGTTATATTTGGGTATAGAAAACAAATCGTCTGGTACAATTGGCTGCTACCTCGATATGTTTTGAACGATGTGAAAAAAAAGGAATAAAACCAAGATCGAATCTTATCAAAAACACACACGCGCACACATGCATGTGCTGCTAGGATTTTTTTTTTCGTTATCCAATTAATACATTGAAAGTTGTTCGACAAAAAAAATTCTATTATTCAATTTATATGATGAAAAAAAATTCGAATTTTAATTTGTAAAAATTTGTAAAAATAATGTTTGTAAATTGTTCTTTCTTTCTTTCTTTTTTTTCGAAAATTAAATTAAAATTTTTTTAGAACAAAATGACCACGAGAAATTTGATTTTGCGATCGAATTCGTAGAATGTTGAAATGGTGATATTATTTTTCGCTTTCATAGCCATTCTACAATCAATGAACATTGTCCAATCTTATGATCAACAATTTGTCAATCTTGATTATGAATTAAATTCATATGAAAAATTTACTTTTTATCAACAAAAATTAAACATTATGATGATTGGTACAGCTCCACAAACACTTCGTAAACAGAAAAGTATGTATGCGAAAAAATTTTCAAATAAAAATCATGATGAAGAGAATATTGATGAAGAAATGGATATAATATACGTTGTCGATAATCAACGAATGGTACATGAAATTCGTGATTATCCATACGATTCACGTGGAATAATTAAAACTTTAAATTTGGATGCTTATCAATCTATTCCATTATCAAAACGATGGCCAGCATTGAATTCGATTTTAGATACAGTTGAAAAATCGAACGAAGAAAAAACCGAAACGATAATGTTTTCATTGACTACAAGTCTTGCCTATGATTCTGTTGATGATTATGATGAACGAAATTTTCCTAGTAATGATAAATATTCAAATTCAAGTACATCAACAATAACAACTAAAGATGAAGAACTAGGAGAATATTATGTTTGGGTATTCGCTTTCTATCATCACTATTATGAGATTCATTTGTTTCAAGCAATTAATTTACGAGAATCTGATGGTTTTTATAAACTACATTCAATGAATTCATTTGATGAGGAGGATCGAATAAGATTTGCATCATCATCAAAATATAATTTTACCATTTTTTTCGAACAATCATTTAATGAACAGCTAGAACCATTACGTGCACGTTTAGTAACTCTTAATCAATTAAGTAGAGCTGCTGAACATATTATTGATGGAGATTTTTTCTTAAATTCAAAACAATTAAATGAAACCAACAATATCGATAATGAAAATCGACAACAATATGATGAAGGTGAATGGAAACGACAATCATCAGCATTTGTTTGTCATCGAAACTATGATAATATTTTTCAAATAATGGATGCACTAGATGAATGTCCAAATGATATGTATCCAGTTGAATTGTTTATCATTCAATCATTCTTTCATGGTCAATTTTTATATATATTCGATTATAAATATGTTTATGTATTACATAAAAAATCAAAATATCTAAATATTTTTCAATTGGAAGAAATTTTACGATATGATAATTATCCGACAATTTTTAGACAAGGTTCATTATTATGTAAGTAATATTTATAACAACAACAACAACAACAAAAATTCCTAAAAATTTCATTCAATTTTTTTTTAAATTAATATTCAAGTTGAAATCATGGTCATTATTGATACTATTTTAGCTATAATAATATTTTTGATAATTATAATTTTCATTGCAATTTGTCTGGCAAATCCATATGATTTAGAGGAAATATTTAACGATATACAGTATGCACGTAAAAGTCTTTATCCAGTAGCAGAAAAACGTGCTAAATATGTACTTAATGGTGTTACATCTGGTTTATCAAAATCAGGAATAAAGTCATCAACATTATCATCATCAAAATCATCAATACCATCATCAAAATTATCATCAAAATTATCATCATCTTCATTAACATCTTCATTAACATCATCATCATCATCATCAAGAAAAATAATGGATGATGAACATAAAAATCAAGAACAAATAAAAACATTTCGAAATAAATCTAAAAGTCCAACAATTAACAAATCTAATATTACGCCCAAACGAAATCAAATGAAAGCCAAATCGAAAAGAATGTAAAAATAAAAATTAAAAATTAATTTAATTTCATTGTATTTTGTTTTGTAAATTAATAAACATTAGTTTTTTTTCGAAAAAAAAAATCAAATATAAAAACATGATTTCCGATTCAAAATAAATGCTTGAATATGTCTGCCAATGCAGTTTTTGATTTTTGACATTATCATCATATTAGCATTGATGGCGAAAATAAGCAATGGCCGACCATTAGAGAAAAATTATCGGATAAAGTTTTCATCATCATCATCAACAACAACAACAACAACGACAGAATCTTCAACATCATTTACAACAACAATGATTAAATCTAATGAAAATCGAATAAACAATATAACGATAAAAATGGTGAATAATAAAAATAATAAAAAATTATCATCATCATCAAATATGGGAGAAAATTTAGCCAATCAAACTTATCAATCATCCAAATCAAAACGAAAATTCAAGAATTCTTTTTTAATGTTTCATCCAAAAATTGTATTACTTTTTTTAGCTATTTATATATTTGTTGTATTGATTTTCTTAAATGTTAACAAAGGTGATAATCAAAATGATTATGATTGGGTTTATGATGAGAATGAAGAAGGAGGAAATAATGAACAAGAATATAATGAAGGTGAAGGTGGTTGGGAGGAAGGTGGTTGGGAAGAAGGTGGTGGTGGTGAAGAAGGTGGTGGTGGTGGTGAAGAAGAATGGGCATGGGAAGATCCACAACAACCACAACAACAGGAACCACAATATTATTATGATGATGCAGCTGGAGAATGGGCACAAGCACCTCCGCCAAAAGGAAAAACAACGAGAAAAACAACGGGAAAAACGAAAGGAAAAACAACAACAACAACAACAACAAAAAAGAAGAAAAAAGATAAAAAAAAGAAAAAAGGTGATAAAAAGAAGAAAAAAAAGAAAAGTATGAAAACAACAAAATCTCATAAAACATCAAAAACTTCTAAACCATTAAAATCATCAAAATATTCTACGGATGCTTTTATGAAAAATTTTCTCAATCAGCTTAAAGAATTATTTAAAATTGCCCAACAACCAACGCCACAATCACCTACACCAATGGAACAAATAATGCAACAACAACAACATCATCAACAACAACAACAACAACAACAACTACAACAACTACAACAACTACAACCACAGAAACCTTTAATTAAATCAAATCATGCAACAGTTCGATCAGATTTTCCAACACAAAATTGGGATCCAAATTATTATCAACGAATGATAATGAAGAGAAGTTATCCGCAAACAAAATTTCCAATGACAAAAAATCGAACAAAAAACTATGATGAACGATCACAACAATATTTACAACCGGTAATCAATATTCAAATACCAATTAAAAATGTTGTAAGACATCATCGTAAAGAACAACGAAGAATGAGACCAAAACATCATTATTATTTGAGTGAACCAACATCAAGAGTTGGACCCGGAGTAGTGACAAAATTATGTGAAAAAATTCCACAAATAATTAGAGAAAATTTAAAAGGATATCGAGAACATCATCATCGATCACCGAGAAGTCGACATCGTGGATCAATAGTCGAACGAAGAAGAAATCCAATATCACCATTACGATTAAATGCCGGTGGTGGTGGTGGTGGTGTTCTTGGATGGTCACCATATCATAAAGCATTAGATCCATGGATGAGACAACCAACATCAAACTATCAACAACGATCAACAAGATCACGTCGAAATAAAAGCAAAAAATATAATGATCGAAGCAAAAATGGTAATAGTTTGGCCGAAGAAAATTTCCAAGAATCTTATTTAAATATTAATTTTGATAATGAATAATAATATTATTAGACACTTAAACTAAACAACAACAACAACAAAAACAAAAACATTTCTCCAAAATAAATAATATTTCAAAATAATTTTTCAAAAAATGTTTATTTAAAAAAATTTTTTGATTACATTTTACAATTCCAGTCGTTAGATGTCGACACAATGTCTAAAAAAAAAGAATTGATCCATTGATCGATCGATCGATCGATGTTCGAATTCTGTTCTTATCAAAAAAAAAAAAAAATTCAAGTTTGATAAAAATATGAATAGTTTTTTTTTGCTGGGAAATGAGAGCAGATAGTAGATATGATGATGGAGGGGAAAATCAAAAATTTTTTTCCTCATCATCAAAGTTTATGATAAACGTAAAATGTTTCCAAGCTCAATTCCAACTACTGATCATCATCATCATCAACAACATTATCCTATTAAGCAGAATAGCCAGCAGACTTGTTGTATTAAAAACAACAAGGGGAAAAAGAGAGAGAAATTGCTTTTTTTTCGTTATAAGGTTCAAAAAACAAAATCTAATAAATAAATAGAAAAAAAATATGACCATCTGTTACAATTTTATTGGAATTTTTTGGTTAAAATTATTTGAATTATATTGGAAAACTTGTCAGTTAAAATGTTTACAATAAAACAATTCTTATGATACCTAAATCGATTTGATTGACCAAAGAAATCAATGATAAATCCACTGGGTCTAATGCCAAATGGTGTTTGCATGTGTGACTTAATCAATGAAATTGATGTACTCAACATTATGTTTATGTGTGTGATGTTTGACTTTAAAAAAAATGAAATGGATGTTCATGAGAAAGAGAGAGAGAAAAAAATAAGAGACAACAACAAGTAAAGAGATTTAAGGGGGAAAAAACAAAAATTATGAAGATAATTTTCAACAACAGTACACAGCGGATGATGAACGGATCAGCATCATAAAAATTTTTTTTTCTTTCTTTTTCATCATTTAATTTCCCAAAATCTTTTCAATTCATCTGATGAATTGAATTGATATCTTGCTTGATATAAAGGCGTAGTCATAATTGTTAGTCAATTTTCAATAGCATCAACATCAAAAAAAAAAAAAAATATTCAAATGATTTGGTGATTCAAGAATCCAGAAGAAGAAGAAGAAAAATCTTTATTTCGTTTTTTTTTCTAATCTTTTTTTTCTTTTTGATTAGAGAGGCGTTATTACTTTTTAAGAAAATTTTTTCAAACAAAAAATTTTACCAAACACACACAAGATATCCACAATGGATCTTCTCTATTTTCTTAAATTCTTGATATTGATTGAGGTTAAAGTTCATGTTCAGGTTGTTATATTTTTTTGCCCTCATTGTATGCGTACAGAAGCGTGGTCAATATCGTATAAGACGAGGTCGACGTTTATCTATCTTGTTGATGTTGAGGATGATGATAGTTTAAAGGTGCAACCTGTTGCACATGTTGAACATTATCGATATCAACAGGTATAATGATTTTATTCTATGATGTCTAGATAGAGGACAATAGTCGAAAAAAGAAGAAGAAAAAAAGAAGAAAAAAATCGATGATGACAACTTCCGAGAAATAATTACTATTCTGCTTATCATTTTTTTATTTTACTTAAGAAGAAATACTCATAAAGATTTTATTTCAATTTACATCAAAAAAAAACAAATAAAAAAAATCTAAAATGACTAGGTGAACTGTCTTGTTGTTGTCGTTGTTGTCATCAAGTTCACTGATCAATTTGGATATTTTTTTTTTCGTTTTAGTTTTTCTCTGTTCACTCAATTGAATGAAAATCAATTAGAATGATTGAATCATCATTAGGTTTTCTATCTCTCTATCATTCAAGTGGATTTTCAAGTTGAATAATTTTCATCATAATAGTTTATTATCGGGGATGAAAAGAAATTTTAAGATAAAGTAATCAATATAAAAAAAACTTTGGTTTCGACAGATTTTTATATTTCGGTGGTGTATTATCGGTGTATCGATGTGATATTATCATCATAATCATTAACACAACTGGAAAAAACAAGGACATTTTCTTCGAAATATCAAAAAAAACAAATTAAAGAAAAAGGAAAAATGTTTCAATTAGCATTATATATTCCAATCAATTCCATCAAATTTTTCATTTGTGAAAAATGGCTAAATGAAAATTTTAAAATAAAAAAACAATCATTACATTTGGCAAAACTACGTAAGAGTTTCTGATCATTTCTGTACATCACCATCATCATCAACATCATTAGTTTGAGTGAAAATAATGTGAGTAGGTGTAGTGAGTGTGGGTGTGTTTGGTGCCAGTATTTTTTTTTTTCGTTTCATTATGCCTGATGATGATGATAAAATTTCAAATTTTAAAAAAAATTAGTTACGAAATTGAACAGAATAATGAAAAATGAAAGGTTAAAAATAAAATTTTTTTTTTACAAAAACGTATATCGTTAATAGAAAATTTCCTGACGACATCAACAACAACGTGAAATATCCGTATTTTAAATCCTGTTGGATCCGGCTTCCACTCTTGTTTTCTGACACCTGATTTCAAAATAAAAAATCAACGATCCTGTGGAGAGAATCACAACCAAGCAATAATGTTTGGAAAAAAAAGCCGAAAACAAATTTTCTTCCACCATTTTTTCAATAATACCGGATAGTGTGATATATTTTCATTTCGCCCAACATTCACCCAATATTCATAATAACCAAACAAAAAAAATATGATCAAATTACATCAACTGACTAACTTGAAAAAAAATCATAATCTTAATTGGAAAATTGGATTTTCTGCAATCAAAGTTTTATTTCATATTTTATGTTATCAATTATTGTGTGAATTTGATAACATAAAATAATTTTTTTCTTTTTTCATCAATTTTTATTTTTTTATTAGGATCATTCAGTGAAAATCTAACCAAAAAAAAAAGGTATAGAAGTGGATGATGAACTTAATAATCATAAAAAATAGCCATGAACCAATGATTCATTTAGATTTTTCAATGATTTTTACCTATGATGATGATGATGATGATAATGGCAATAAACTTTATGATGATGATGATGGGTGAAACCCTCGGTCTATTTCAGCTATAAATCCGGTTATTATTATTACCCAAAGTTCATTAGGTGACTCATTGATTTCATGTCATAATTTTTTTTTTTGAGAAAAAAAATGATAATCTTGATTGAAGAACGAAATGAAATGATGCTGATGATAAACATATATTCAATGGAGAAAAACATCATCAGATGAAGGAGACAAATATTTCTTCTTCTTTTTTCCCTACCTTATAACCTCGGATGAATTTTTGAAGAAAATTTTTTTATTTTTAGGAGAAATTTATTTTTGCTTTAAGGGTGTAACATCAATGTATACAAATAATGAAAAGTGGAAGAAAAATTGAAAGCAAAGTTTTGATTTTCATTATTTGATTCGTAATAAAAAAAGAAAATAAGGAATGTCATCATTCTTATTGATGATTTCCAAATGTCTTTATTGCCATTATGTAATATGTATTTAAATCAATGAAAGTNAAAAAAATATGATCAAATTACATCAACTGACTAACTTGAAAAAAAATCATAATCTTAATTGGAAAATTGGATTTTCTGCCAAAATCAAAGTTTTATTTCATATTTTTTTTATTATTTTCTGTTATCAATTATTGTGTGAATTTGATAACTAATTTTTTTCTGTTTTTTCATCAATTTTTATTTTTTTTATTGGGATCATCATCATCATTCAGTTAAAATCTAACCAATAAAAAAAGGTATAGAAGTGGATGATGAACTTAATAACCAATGATTCATTTAGATTTTTTGATTTTTCAATGATTTTTACCTATGATGATGATGATAATGGCAATAAACTTTATTATGATGATGATGATGATGGGTGAAACCCTCGGTCTATTTTAGCTATAAATCCGGTTATTATTATTACCCAAAGGGCATTAGGTGACTCATTGATTTCATGTCATAATTTTTTTTGAGAAAAAAAATGATAATCTTGATTGAAGAACGAAATGAAATGATGATGATGATAAACATATTCAATGGAGAAAAACATCATCAGATGAAGGAGACAAATACATTTCTTCTTCTTTTTTCCCTACCTTATAACCTCGGATGAATTTTTGTTTGAAGAGAAATTTTTTATTTTTAGGAGAAATTTATCTTTGCTTTAAGGGTGTAACACATCGATGTATACCAAATAATGAAAAGTTTTTGAAAAAAAATTGAAAGCAAAGTTTTTATTTTCATTATTTGATTCGTAATAAAAAAAAAATAAGGAATGTCATCATTCATTGATGATTTCCAAATGTCTTTATTGCCATTATGTAATATGTATTTAAATCAATGAAAGTTGATATACAGAGATATACGAGAAATAACATAGGAAACATTATTTATTCATCCATCTGTTTTGGTTTTTTTTTCTCACCCTGGTGGTCCGTTAACAATGATATAAACACACATCGATAATCATGTATCATCGATGATATTTATCTTATTGATTAGCCAATCAGTCAGTCAATCAGCCGGTCAGTAACAAACCTATTCATTATCCTTGTCAGAAAAACAAACAAATAACCAATTTAGTCTATAATCATCATTCAGGAAGCATCAATGTGTGTTTGAAATTACTGATTTTAGATTCAAAATTATATAAATTAAAAAAGAAAACTTACAAGGTCAACAAAAAAATGAATTTTATCATCAATTTTTTTTTGTTCAACTCTTGACTGACAGACAAATGATAAATGAATTATGATCAACAAAAAAAAACGAAGAAGAATAATAAATGAAAATGAATACAAATCTATAGATCTTTTTTTCAATATAGAAAATGAAAAAAAACACGGATACAATTCGGATGTGTGTGTGTGTGTTCCAAAAGTAAATAACATTTTACACATTGGAACATTGGAACCCACGCAAGTGTGTGTATGTTTGTTTCCAAGCATCTATGATTACAATTTCTTTTTTTTCCATTGATTATTATTATTATTATGATAATAACGAATAAATAAAGTGAATATTTGTGA